TTTAATCATCATTATCATGATAATCACTTTTATTAGTATTTTCATTTTTAACAATTATTATCATTATCAACATAATTATAGTCATCTCCAACATTATTATTATTGTTATCGTCATGATCATTATTATAAATATGTCACTATATATAACATTAATATTATCATTATCGTAGTCATCATATACATAACCATTTCTATTATTATCATTATTATTATAAATCATTATTATCATTATTATAATCATCATTATCATTATCATCATTATTGTTGTTACATCGTTATTAACGTCATTATCGTTATCATTGCTATTATTATCATTCTTATTTTCCTCATCTTTTCTATTGTCATTGTCATTATCATCGGTATTATCATCATACTTACTATAATCGTTATTATTATTATTATTACGAAGATCATTACGAACACTAATAATGAAAATTTTAAGGTGCAATTCAAATATTTTTATTTTCATGATTACTTTATTTCGGTGTTAAGAAATCTAAGTTAATAATGTAATCTAGATTTTGTAAACCTTCAAACGCTTAACTCACGGTGCAAAAAAAAATATACAAAAGTTAGAAAACTTTAGTCTGACGATACCTGAATAATATAATGCTTCTACTGTTTCGTGTTTTATGGCTTGTTTATTTCAACTCTAATGATAAGTAGAATCTATCAACGAATTTCATCACAAAAAATATTTCTTACATATACATTATACTATTCAATGAAACTATATTTTAAGCAATGTTATTTATCTTAAACTTTTTCCTTGAACATTTCATTTTCGTTACATACAAATTAAAACATTTTATAATTATTAATATTATAAAATACCTAAACTATATAATAATAGCAACTAAATTTTTTTAATTATTATGTCTTTTAAGTCAAACTTTCAAATAACGCAAAAGTTGTCTTGGACAAAAAATTGCATAACATTACAATAACTTTAAAAATGTATGTCATGAATAACTTTTCACAATAACGTTTAAAAAGGTAATCACAAGATTTCTTTTAATATTATAATACTTTTTTCTAAATATTTAAATTTATAGAATACCTTATACCAATTAAATTAATTTCTTTACTTCGCAACTTCTTATAAGCTCATATTAAGCTTAGCAAGATTTTATAAAAATCTAAAAATAAATTTTAATACCGAAAATGTTGATTGATTTATAAATCTACTTCAATCAATACTATAAAATGTGAATGATTAATCGTCTTAGAATATTGTCAAAGAAAATTTTGATACTAATCACAATTTTTTAAAAACTCTTATAAAATTCAAGTGCAACGATCAATGAAATTCGAGGACTCATCTAGCCGTGCATGGAAGTCATACAAGACAACGACGACCGGTGCGGGTGGCTCGGCTGCAAGCTCTCGCTACCGTGCCACCCCCTATGCAAGACCCGCTAAGTAACTAATTTCGTGAAGACTTTAAAATGAGCGGGAATCTAAAATAGAAAGCAACACTCCGCGTGACATTACAATTTTTTTACATGATTTTAGCTCTATGCTTGCAACTATTAGCTTCATTATTTTTTCACGTCGTCGAACAGTTTTGTATTACACAAAGTTAGATTAGTTAAGCAAGTGTACCTATACTTTAGAAAATGTAAATCATAATTTTTTACAAGTAGTTACCTTCAATTCTTTTCTATAAAATGGACAATTTGTATCAAGAAACAAATCAAATTTTTAACTCTAAGTATTTACCATGATCAGCTTGAACATTATACATCAATGTTATACTGATATTTACCTAATATTGAAATATTTTACAATAAAAATTTTCTAAACTAAATTTGTTAGAGTATTTAACGTTCATCAACTGAATCTTTATAATGTGACATTAATATGAAAATCAAGAATTCACATTTAGAATGCATATATTAATAAATTATTGAAAATGAAAAAAGAAATAGCGAGTTAACATTTAATGTAGTAGTGATTATAATACTATAAAAAGGGATTCTAGAAAGTTACATAAAAAATTATTTACCAGATGTTCAGCTTATTAATTGAAAATCCAAATAATGAACTTGATATTAATCTAATACACGACAAATGAGACATTTAAGAAAATAAAAATAATTTGATGCGAAAATGTTATGGAAATTAAAAAATATGTTATTAAAAAAATTTCGATTTTTTGAAACATTTAATACCTAAGAAATAATTGTCAAGATTAATAATAAAGACACTATAGACTTCGTCTATCAAAATTCACATGTATTTATACCAATCTTTATATAATATAACATTACTAGTGACAAAATAATTCAGTGTATTAGTCAAACTTAAAATAATGTAGTATTAAAATACTTAATTGTTACACTTGTAGTTTAACTGTTCAAGCAGCAAAAAGTTCATCCTTTAAATAAAGAAAAAGAAAAAAATAATGTTACACTCACTAAGGTAACTTCCAATTATGTTAATCTAGACATTTTTGACACATTTTATTTAGATTACCTAATGTAATACCAATAATGGAATAAATAAATAAATAAAAATGTAAAATAAAATAGAAAATTAATCATGTTTTATTTTTGTACTAACACTTCACATTGAGAAAATTAAATGAACTGGTTTTGACTATACTGAGTATACTTAGATTTTTTTTCTGGTATAAGACATTTTAATCATTCATAATACAGTATCTGATTCAGCAAAATCTAAGATACTACGTGATTTGTTGCTGTATTAATTATCATCACATGTAGTACAAAGTTATAATATTGCCGACACCTTAAAAATTTGTACATCGAAGTTTACTATGATACAAAATTTTTCTTCTTACTCCAAATTTCCGCAATAGATAATATCCTAATTAACTATATAACATCTTAAATGTAGCCAAAGTCACGGCTTTGTCAAGAGTACTAAACACAGTAGAATATGAACAATATGTGTAAAATAAATAGTATGTACATCGCATATTAAAATTTGATGGCTCCAATTTTGTTAATATAAGAATATAAAAAATTAATTTTTTAATCATTACCAGTAATTTTAACACATCTAGATACACGTAAGGCTTTAATGTACATGGAATTAATGACCATTGAATTTTTCGAGTCACATACTTGTAATTAAATTATTTATTTGAGTCAGTAATCTGTCAGTTGACTACTTACAAGATGATTACTGTAGAATCGATATTATAAGTTATTAAAAACACTATCCTGGTAGTTGCAATAGAAACCCGAACCTGTTTGGACTAGAATGTAATGATCCTGAAATGAGTGATAAGACATTGGCGTCTTGCACATTTTTTTGATACTACGTTAATCCTTAGGTTTAATTATACCTCTCAAACTGTCCAAGTGGTGCTTCCATCCTACTTGATACTGCAGACACATTTTTTTAAATTTGTTTATACAGATTTGAATTAATTAAATAGAGTATTAGTTATTAACTTTCTTAAATGTCATTACCTAAAAGAAAAAAAATAGAAAGAAAGATATCAAGGGGCTTAAAAGCTATCATCGATAAGATAGCACTGCTCGTTTAAACATCCTAGCTAATGAAATACAGACTGAAAATGCAGAAACGAGTGGAGAAATTTACCACTTTTTATCTGATGAGAAATTTGCGTTCACTGTGAGGAAAAAAAAAAAATCATGTATTGGTAATAGATATTAATTGATTCACTAAATCTGCAGATGACTTGTGAATTAGTAAAATATGATTCATTATTTGCATTAACTTATAAAAGTGGACCAAACGCAGATAGATGGTTTGTAGTATAGGTATATTAGTCTTATTCTGAAAAGAATTAATGATATATTTTTCTAACAAAAATTTGCTCTTTCTAATAAATCAAAATGTGATCAAATAAGTATATTCGAGGAAAACGGTGTAAAAAAAAATTTTTAGAAAAGTATACAACTAGCAAGTGATGTTTCCACGTAAAAGTTTTTTGTTTAATTTGTAAACCAACGGTCAAGGCATTGGCCCCTTCCAAATTTTTTTTTTTTTTCAACAGATAAGAGTAAGTAATAATGTTCAACTAATTTTTTTTTTTTTTTTAGTTACTTGAGCTTAATTGGTTTACTTAAAACTACAGCCAATAAACAATTAATAGATTGTTTATGGCCGTAAATAATTACCTTAAATATTAAGTGTAACTACTATCAATAAAAAACTGTTCTATAGTGTCGCAGATTTTGATCACGATTGTTTTAGTTGTCAATACAGGGGTTTTAAGGTTGCTCATTACATAACCGACTTCAGGATTAAAAATAAAACAATGTCTTTTCCAACATGTCAGACAAAACTCTTTAAAGGTGTCCACCGCATTAGATCTTCCGTTTTAAATTCCATAAATGTTACGTAGGATTTTATATGAGCAACTATAAAATCACAACTATCGCAGTTTTAATTCTAACACACAATTTTTGTCCACTACGTAAAATCGAATATTTTTAATACCTTGTATCTAATTTCTGATTCGTAGTCTGCGACCAGCGGAACATTACCGACTTATCCAGATAGGTATTAACCGACCATCCTGAGAATGATTGTCCCCCTACTCTAGACATCATTTGGAAAATCCATGGTCCATCTGAAAATTTTGGGCATCCACATTTTTTTTACGTTGAAGAAACTCAAAAAAATACTAAAATTTAAACCAAATCACTTAAATTTCTCCAGTTAATAAGTCACCCTAACATCTCATAAGTATCAGACGTTATAAAAACAGATACTTTTAATTAATTACAGAGGAACTTTGATATTATTGTTGAAACATGAGTTTTTTTTTTCAATTGCGGAGAACAGTGAATTGCCTAGTACAAGAAGTATGGGCTTCCCTTCACATAAGAAAAAGTTTTCTGTCATTTAACCAGAACCATCTACGGTTTTTTTTATACTTACCACAACACAAAGATTCCTAGTACCGGACACGAGCTTCTCCAATAAAATCTTTCCCATCATATTAAATATATCAATTCTCTACATATTATATGGTTTATTATTCAGGGTTTGTAATAAATAAACGGGTCTTTGTTCCCATAATGCCTAATACTTTATTCGTGGTATTTCTGATAAGATCAAGTGGATCATAGTAAATCAGCTAATGTCTATTATCGTCTTTTACTCTTTTCTTTGAACCCGAAAGCGTCTGGTAAACTTGTGAGTATATCTTAAAAAATATTTCATATTCTAATCAAAAATCTTCCTAGTGAAAAAATAAGTTCTGTTTATTATTTTCCTGATTAAAGTTCTGGTAAAAAATGAAAAATGTTGGATTTTGCTGAAATACAATTACTTACGTCCTTTTTAAAAACGTTAATTGTGCGTATGAATTCTTTCAATATTTTTTCCAGGCGTATTAACAAGCAAAAAAATTATTTGATTCCACAATTTAACATAGGCCCTAAGGGTGTTATAAAATTGTATTAAAACTGCTTATATCAAAAATCTTTTGTAGTTTAAAATAAGCGGTCTTTTCAAAATGAATGAACAAATAAAAAAAATAGTACACGCAAAATTTTTAAAACGTTGCGTTTAATGGAATTTAGTGAGTGATTCCTGAGTCTGAAAATAAAGAGGAATATACTATTTTTTTTTTTTTTTTTTGCTAAAATATGTCTGAAAAAAATATTGAAAAAATGCTTACACATAGGGGTAAGTGAAGGTATTGTTGCGGTTGCTCCACTTATTGCGAAACTCTCGAATAATGCCTATATTTTAATTGAACTAATAAGGTATAGTTAGTAAACACTTGAAATCATTAAATTAAGTCAGAGTATCTGATTAATCGGACTTCAGTTTCAAAGTAGCATTCAAAACTTTATATTTGCATTACAAAGAATCACGTCTGCAATAACTGGTGCACACATAACCTCCGTCATTATGATGATATTATTGCGGATACCCCGTTGATTTAGCATTAAAATTGACCACAATAATACACACAGGCATGCAATAATACCAGCATTGTCAACTTAACTTTTAAACCCTCTTTTTAAATTAATATTAATGAGTTGATACATTTGTAAAAGTTGAGTTCAGTAGTTTTTGAGTCCAACATTAATAAAAAAAATAAATAAAAAAATAAAAATTACAACGATTTGACGAATTGAGTTTCTTAGATAAATGTTTCAAGCTAACCACTCAAAAAAACCGCAATAAAATCCTCTTATACCCCTATTTTGTTCTTAAAAAGAACCTAACTTTTTTGAACTTTTTTCAATGTTGCATGCAACATTTTTTATTTTTTACCAGAATCTTCTTAAAATTAATGGCTGGTATTTTTTTCGTAATAGTGCAACTAAAAATATCAGTTATTCTCCATTAATATAATACGTTAACTGCTTCTTGAGTACATTAAGTTGTGTATAACTAAAAACTTGATCAATCCAACTTACATAAGAACAGTAACATAAAATTCTTTATAGTAAACTTTTTAATCGTGCTCCAATAAAATTCTCCTTTAAATTAGTGTGCCAACAAAATGCTAGTGATTCCCTTTTTTTATAAATAACTTTGTTACGGAAACAACATCGAATAAATTATGTTTTATTTGTAACAATTGAGTCCATTGTATGATGTGTACGATATTGGAACTCGAATAACTTAATAAATTTTGTGCTACACAGTCGTAAAACAAGTATTTTTAATGTTTCATAATTTGTGTTTAGACGTAAAGGATTCGACAGTTTTTTTAGTCTGGCTATTACTTTTTTTCACTTGTTGTCAAATGAATTATACAACAATCCGTGTGGACTTTAGAAGTTTTGAGACAGGATCAAGTAAAAATTTTAACCTCTGACACAGATAGTGGTCACTTTTATTAAATATTTGCATGATTATAAGGTCAACATCTTCGACATCAATAGCCGAAAGACATTTTTGAATAAGAACAAAGTAAGATAGCATGTATATACGTATACATCATTACCGTATGAGGTCCCTACGATCAGCAAACTCAGCATAGATGGCGTACTGTAGCTAAGAGAAAAATGGCGTCACTGAGACACTACGGCTATAAGTGACGACGGTATACGGTAATGTGGACTTACTTATGTGACTACATATCCGTTACGCTAACGTCAGGAGATCATGAATACTACATTTATGTCAATGTGACGCCTTTTTTCTCTTAGCTACAGTACGCCATCTATGCTGGGTTTGCGGACCGTAGGGATCTCATACTACACTGGTTAAATTATAACCTATATAAAATCAAATATAACGCATCTACTTAGGCTTAAAAATCATAAATACATTTAATATTCTTAAAAACCACAAAATGGTAATTATTTTTGCAGAATCATTTTTACATCAATAAATTCAGAATCTAATTTTATCTTTTTGATCAACCAATGAGCTTCAAGCTATTTACTAAAAAAAAATTTTTTTTTCAGGATAGAGTTTAATTAATTATTTCATTTTGTGCGTACGGAATATCGCCAGAATAGTTTTGAAAATAGGGTACAA